AACTTCACTGGTCATCTTGGTCATCTGGAGGTCCACTGTACTAGCTGGAGAACTCCAGGTGCCCCCCAGGATCCCTGCTGGCCCCACCAGCCTCCTCTGCTGGGGCCTAGCAAAGTCCAACAAAGCACAGTAACTGCAATGATCAAGGACCAAAAGAAAACAAACAGTGCAGGAAGGAAAATATGAAAATATTGGTATTATTAAGCTCTTGTAGAAATTCATCAAACCATATCACAAATGGAATAATTCCACAATGAACAGGTGGGTGCCTAATGTCCGAAACATTCAGTGAGAATCCGTATGGCATATACAAGACATGCACAAAGAATGATTTCACAAATATTTGATAAGGAAGATGACGTAAGAAAATTCCAATGAGTGAGCAGATGCAACGGTTCCAACGGTCTTGAAACGGGGCGCTAACTACGATCTTATCTCGTTTCACTGTAAAGCTTTATCAAAGTAGAACTGATGCTGTTCTTTGCTGTATCAATAAACAGGAGTGCTTGAGATGGAATTACCCAAATAATTACTCAGATAGTTAAGTGCTTCATAAATGGCATAGCTCAATGTTTTATATTGTGGGCAGAAGTTGTCCATCACAGAAACAGAGATGAGGAAATGTTCAGTGGATTTGGAGAGGTGGATTGTTAACTGGATTAAGAATTCCTGTGCCCAAGGAATGGGGGGGTGGGATCGATTTTTCAGTGTTTCAGACAAGAATCTGTAAACACTATGAACAATGCTAGCAGGGGAACAATGGTGAAAGTGATTCTAAAGAGAGAGAGATTTATAGTCTGGCAATAAGACTGGTTTACTGGAAGGACTTCACTTGGATTCCCTAATATATGCAAGAACAACCCGTGTGACTGACAGAGAAGGAATAGCGCTTTGACACAATTCCATAGTTCAGCCACATTAAGTGTGTATGTGTATGCATATGTGTGTGTGTGTGTGTGTGTGTGTGTGTGTGTGTGTGTGTGGGACAGACATTTAAAAAAACTTAGCAAAATGCTATTTTGCCACATTACTATCTGGTGTGCACCTCTGTTGCTTGTCACAGTTAAACAAACATCTTTAGCTGTAACCTTGAAAATATTTTAAGTTACATTTTAAAATAAGCAAAGTATGAAGAGGCTTATCACAAACTTCTGGGTTTTATAGGGTTAGTGTTTTCATTAAATAACTACGTTAATAAAGCTCATTGTTAAGCTATTTTGGAGTTTTCATAATTATTGTTTGGCTGTAGCCATGTATCACTATGCCAGGAAAATCTAGACCCAGTTGCAGATGGGCTTTAGTTCCTTATATATATATATATATATGAAAATGCTTCTGGACTCACTAGGTTTGCTAGCCAGTGGTTGCCAAGTGACCGAGAGCCTGGAGAGCGTGACGGTGTTACATCACTTCCAGAGGAAACCTGGAAGTGATGTTGTGCCTGTCTAGGAATCACTGGAAACTCCAGTTCTAGGTTTTCCTGGAAATGACAGAATGCTGTTAGGCTGACAATGATTTTTAAATTTTATTTTTTTGCCCGCTAGTAGACAAAGAAGTGGTAGGCAGTAGGGGGTGGCAGCGGGAGGTTTCCTGCCATCACAGGAGATGGCATTGCCATCCCCACTGCAGGTGGGGCGTCCCCCGCTCCTGGGCCTCACCCCGTTTCCGATCATCTGGATGGTTGGGGGACTTACCAAGAGCATAACGGAGGCCCAGGCTACATTGCTGGCAATGTGGTGGCATTCCTTCCATTGTGTACTGAAAGTGACATCATCGCATCAATGACATCCAGGTGACAGTCTGGTATTTGGGTAAAAACTCTATGGTAGAAGCCATTCTTACCATAGAGCTTTTGCCCAAATACCAGAGAGTTGCTGGGATGTCACAACATGATGATGTCACTTCCGGATACGACAGAAGTTATGTCGCAATGGTGTCACTTTTGGTACATGCCGGAAGTGACATCACCACGTCGCTGCTTTTGTAGCTTGGGCCCCCCTCCCGCTCCTGGTAAGTCGTCTCCATCCGCCATCAGTTGCCAGGAGGGACCTGGCAACCCTAGCAGGAGACTTGACAATGCTACTACTCACTTTCTTTGTACATCTAAGCTTACTTTCCGTGTAGAAAAACAGGCCAGTTTCACTCTGAATGATGCAGCAGAGACTGGAGGTAATGGAATGGACTGCACCACTCATTTGGGGATGCCTTCTTTCCAGGGGTCATTTCGTAGAAAAAGAGGTGCAGGAGCTCATTAGCATAACTCATTAGCGTAACTTATTCGCATGTGCCACACCCCCTGACATCACCGAAGTGTGTCAGAAGGCAACACCCACCGCTCAGGCTCCACTGGACTGTTTTGGATTGCTAGCTATTGGGGGGGGGGAACGTGCAGATCTGCCCTCGCAGAGGAGGGAGAGCTTGTACCTGAATAAAACTTGGTCTTAAAGGTGCCACTGGACTGTTTTGGACTGGAGGGCAGGGGAGGTTCTGCAGCTTACTTGGCTGCTTCTTGCTCTGACTGAGGGCTGCTGGGAGCAGGGGGTGGGGCTTGTTGCATGTGCCCACCCCCTGGGCTCTTTACTGCCGGAGTTCCGCTCCTGTGCGGTCCTGCAGGAAATGACCCCTGCTTCTTCCACTGAAAACTCCCTGAAAACAGGAAAAATAGCACAACTTATTATTTAGTGGGCAGTTGCAAATTTGTTGACATCCCCTTATTTTATGGTATAGTTATTTTAACATGATCCCTTGAGGGAAAAGCCTTTGCTTTTGTTTCACTGTCCGCTTGTGTTGTTGGTTGCTGGCTGGCTGGGGCTGGTAATGGACCAGCAGGGCCCAGAGAATGCTTCAAGGGTCGAGCTACAGCAAATAAAATTCGTATCAAAAGAAATATATTTATTCTTATATCTACGCAGCCCGGATGAAACAAATTTAGAATCCAGCTACACCAGCATTGGAGACTGTGCAAATATGTGGTGCAATTTGTTTTTAAATTCCTTGTTTTAGTGTTTGAATGAACAACCTATTATTGTGTTTTTGTATTGCCGAATGGCCCAATTGTTGTGCTCCACCCTGAGCCCGTTTGTGGGGCGGAATATAAATTTGAAAAATAAATAAATAATAAATAAATATTCTGGAGTGTACACAATAATATAAGTAAAAACATAAGGTTTGAATAGTAGGCTACATGAAGAGTCATCAAGAATAAGCTTTACATTGGCCCCGGTCACACGGGCCAGATAACACGGGGGGGGGGGGGGGGGGGTATAGCAAAACAAAGCATGGTAGCCCGATCACACGGTCCCCGAGGCTTCGCACTTAGGCTGTTAGCTGGCAATCACACGGTGATGCTGGAGCGGGGCAAAGAAGTGGCGCGGCAAGCGTTTTGCATTTGTGCGCATGTGCAGTTCCGTGGAGCAGCACTGCTTTCAGTTACGTGTTTGTGCGCATGTGCTTACGAGAAACATCTGGTTTGTGATGGGATGTGGACGGGCGGCAGATGCCATGGGATACTAGCGCTCCCGCGACCAGACGCCCGCCCCTGCCCCGCGTTTCCTGGATACTAGTGCACTTTCCAAGGTAGGTTTTTTACTGCGCAACTTTGGTGGGATGCCACGGGTTGGCCCAGATGTTGTGGTGTGATCGCGAAAATCTGCCTGACATTCGTATCTTTAGCGCGGCAACTTCTCTGTGTGAACGGGGCCATAAACTGTCATATTTTCCCATACAAAGTTAATGATACATAAATCAACACAAGACCAGGTGCGTTTCGGCCTCAAAGGCCTTCCTCAGTGGACAATAATGTATAACATAGTTTTTAGAAACACATCCAGAAAATAAACAATACACAGCAATCCTGGCCAGGGGGTGTTATCTGAAAATACAGAATGGGAGAGAAAAGAAAAACAGCCAAATTGTCATGATGGAAATAAGCATTATTAATGCTGTATTGATTTTTTTTTTTTAACTGTGACAAAAATAAAACATCATTCTGCTTCCTATATTGTGTGGTTTGATGTTAGCTTATAAAGTGACTTTTCACATGGTAACTGTGCTCACACATACATCATCCACTGATATTATAGTCTATAAAACAAACGTTATATTTGAGCTAAGCTTTATTATAAATATACAAATGCAAGGTCCAGACCGGGCCTTGCCTACCTCGAATAAAGTTCTGCTTTTTGGGTACTGAGCACTGTGGAGTTATTACATAACTAACAAAGAGAGCTGAGGAAACCTTTTTTCCCTCTGATGTGCAAGTGTTCTATTTCCATGGAGTGTTTTGTGTGACATATGCTTGCCAACCTCCAGGTGGCGGCTGGAGATCTCCTGGAATTTATAGGTGATCTCCAGGTGGCAGAAGATGGAGAAAATGGCTGCTTTGGCAGGTGGAATCTGTGGCATTATATCCAACTGATGTCCTTCCCCTCCCCAAACCCTGCCCTCCTCAGATTCCACCTCCAAAATCTCCAGGTATTTCCCAACCTGGAGTTGGCAACATTAACATGAACAGAGGTCATTTCGGGGGGGATCGCGGGGGATCGCAGTTCCCCCGGGTGAGGTGCAGGGGGCGGGGCACATGACGAAGCCCCGCCCCCTGCTTCCGGCCGCCCCGCTTCCAGCCCTCATTCATCCAGGAGGAGGCAGGAGAAGAGGGAGGGTAAGTTGCTTCCTCCCTGCCTCTCCCCACCCCTGCCTGCCTGGGGCCAGGGAGGGCCTTCGCGGGGCTTCCTTGCACTCCCTCATGGGGCTCGGCAGTGGAGCTGCAAGGCCGGCGGCGGCAGCCGGGACCATTGGGGGCGTAAACGACCCCTGAACATGAAGGGACATTCAAAACAGAAACCTGCATGGAAAATAGGTCCTCTGAGGGTTACTCGCCATGGTGACTAAATCCTGAACAGAGTTACGTTAGTCGTCCACTGTGGACGCAGATTGGAGTAACTGTGTACGCTTGCCCTGTGGGCCATTTGATTTAGGGTTCCTCTCCTTGTTTCTTTCAGATAGCAGCTCAAGCGGTTATATTTATGTGCATGAACACCGCTGGAATCTTCATTAGCTACCTATCAGACCGAGCCCAGCGCCAAGCCTTCCTAGAGACCCGAAGATGTGTGGAAGCTCGGCTGAGGCTGGAAACCGAAAACCAGAGACAGGTAAGGGGATGAGTTATAAGAGTCTGTTTCACATCAAACCAGATTACAGAAATCTATTCATTCATATTGCCCTCCCCTGGATGGCTCAGGGTAACTCTGTCTTGGAAGCTAAGCAGAATCAGCCGTGGTCAGTACTTGGATGGGGGACCACCAAAGCAGTCCAGGGTTGCTAGGCAGAGGCAGGCATTGGCAAATCACCTCTGAACATCTCTTGCCTTGAAAACCCTACGGGGTTGCCATCAGTTTAAGAACATAAGAGAAGCCAATGTTGGGTCAGGCCAATGGCCCACCCAGTCCAACACTCTGTGCCACACAGTGGCCAAAACCAAGATGCCATCAGGAGGTCCACCAGTGGGGCCAGAATTCTAGAAGCCCCTCCCACTGTTGCCCCCCCCATGCACCAAGAACACAGGGCAACACTGCCCCAGACACAGTGTTCCATCTATAGGATAAAGGTAAAGGTTTCCCTTGCTCAAAAGCCAGTTGAATCTGACTCTAGGGATGCGGTGCTCATCTCTATTTCCATGCCGAAGAGCCAGTGCTGTCTGAAGACGTTTCCATGGTCATGTGGCTGGCATGACTAGACGCCGAAGTGCACGGAAGGCTCTTTCCTTCACACCGAAGTAGTACCTATTTATGTACTTGCAATTTCTTGCTTTCGAACTGCTAGGTTGGCAGGAGCTGGGACCAGAGATTGGAGCTCACTCCATCATGCGGCACCCGGGTCTCGAACTGCTGAACTACCGACCTTCTGGTCTGCAATTCAGCGTCTTAACCACTTGAGCCACTGCAGCCCTATAGTTCCATCCAGGGCTATTTTTGGGCAGGAACGCAAAGGAACGGAGTTCCAGCTGGCTCCCAAGTTGGCCACGCCCAGCAGGAATAGGAATGCATTAGCATAATAGGCCATGCCCAACAGCAGAAACTCATTAGGATTGGCTACATTAGGGGTGTGTGGCCTAACATGCAAAGGTGTTTCTGCTACAAAAAAGCCCTGGGTTTTGACAACAAACAAGGTAAACAGAATAAGAAGCAAAAGGTGGGTGTGGCTGGATAACCACACTTCTGGTAACATGGGGGTGCGGCCTAATGGGCTAATGAGTGGTGCTGTCAGGGGTGTGGCCTAATATGCTAATGAGTTTCTGCTGTTGGGTGTGGCCTATTATGCTAATAAGTTCCTGATGGGCTTTTTCTACAAAAAGAGCCCTGGCTTGTGGCTAAGAGCCACTGGTGGACCTCTTCTCCATATTTTGATCCAATCCCCTCTTGGAGCTGTCTGTCTATGCTCGTAGCCGCCGCCACCTCCTGCAGCAGTGAATTCCGCATGTTAGTTAACCGGCTGTGACTTGACAGAACTTTCCACTACCGTTCATTAACGGTGCTGCCAACGCTTTTGTTCCTCTGCTTTTTTTCGCTGGCATCGTCTACAGACCTTGTACATTTTTAATTCATCATTCATCTGCGTGTCGCACAATGCTGATGGATTGCGAGAGCGACGGCAGGTATCCTACCACTCCATTCAGCAGAGCTGGGGACCTTTTTACAAGCGTAAGTGGCTCTTCTGCCAGAGGAAGAGGCATTTCTTTTGGCGGAAGGCTGCCAGTGTTGGCTGTGCTGGGTGATAGGATCCACGCCAACGTGGAAACAATGTGTACATAATATGGAACAAGTCTGGTGCCAGGAAACAGAGAGAGGCACGGAAATAAAAGGGAGAAGCAAAACTGAAACAAGTGTTTTGGGGAGGAGACACTGGAAGTCATTCTGAGCCAGAACATCTCTTAAGGCCATGTTTACATGCTCCCTGGTCCAGCACGGGAGGGGAGCCCACGCTGATGAGAACGGGCTTTCACATATAGGACACTGCAGAGCTGGAAAAAGTACAGTCAAGTTTGGATTAGGGGGTTGGAGCACCTTCCGTATGAGGAAAGGCTGAAGAGTCTGGGGCTTTTCAGCTTAGAAAAGAGACTAAGGAGGGGACATGACAGAGGTTTATAGAATTATGCATGGGGTGGAGAGAGTTGACAAAGAGAACTTTTTCTCCATCTCCCAAAATACTAGAACTCAGGGGCATCCAATGAAGCTGATGGGCAGTTGGTTCAGGACAGACGAAGGGAAATACTACTTTACACAGAGAGTGATTAAAACGTGGAATTCACTGCCAAAGGATGTAGTGATGGCCCCAGGAATAGACAGCCTGAACAGGGGATTAGGAGAAAGAGGAGGAGGAGAGGAGATTGGATTTATATCCCACCAGGGCTTTTTTTGTAGAAAAAGCCCAGCAGGAGCTCATTAGCATAATAGGCCACACCCAATAGTAGAAACTCATTAGCATATTAGGCCACACCCCTGACAGCACCACTCATTAGCATATTAGGCCGCACCCACATGTTACCAGAAGTGTGGTCATCCAGCCACACCAACTTTTTGCTTCTTATTCTGTTTACCTTGTTTGCTGTCAAAACCCAGGGCCTTTTTTTGTAGCAGGAACTTATTTGCATGTTAGGCCACACAACCCTAATGTAGCCAATCCTAATGAGTTTCTGCTGTTGGGTGTGGCCTATTATGCTAATGAGTTCCTGCTGGGCGTGGCCAACTCAGGAGCCAGCCGGAACTCCGTTCCTGTGTGTTCCTGCCCAAAAATAGCCCTGTATCCCACCCTTCACTACCCAAAGGTGTCTCAGAGTGGCTTACAAACTCCTTTCCCTTCCCTCCCCACAACAGACACCCTGTGAGGCAGGTGGGGTTGAGAGAGCTCATTCCAGAACTGTCCTTGAGAGAACAGCTCTGCCAGAACTAGGACTTGCCCAAGATCATCCAGCCAGGTGCAAGTGGAGGAGTGGGGAATCAAACCCGGTTCTCTCAGATTAGAGTCCACGCACTTAACCACTACACCAAACTGGCTCTCGATAGATAGATTCATGGAGGACAAGTCTGTCAATGGCCACTCGCTGTGGTAACTGAGGGGAACTTCTACATTCAGAGGCACTAATCCTCTGAATCCCAGAGCCAGGAGGCAACATCAGGGGAAGGCTTTGGCCTCTATGCCATTATTGGCCCTCCAAAAGAACTGGTTGACCACTGTGTGAGACAAGATGCTGGACTAGATGGACCACTGGTCTGATCCAGCAGGGCTCTTCTTGTGTTCTTATGAGGAGAAGGCCTCGGCCTCTGTGCCCTGTTGTTGGACCTCCAGAGGAACTGGTTGGCTACTGTGTGAGACTGGATGCTGCACTAGATGGACTATTGGTCTGATCCAGCAACGCGTTTCTGATGTTCTTATTAGTCTAGACTGTGCCAAGGAAAGCTGGTATTCAAAGAGCCTCTCTTTTTAAAGCAGATTCTAGTGCATTGATCCCCAACATACTGTCTGCCAGCAACACGGTGCTTGCCAATGTGTTCCCCACTAGCTTCCTTCTGAAGGCATCACTTACCCAAAGCAAAGGCTTTTGTCCACCTCATTGGAGAAGGAGAGTCCAGAAACAACTGCAAGCTTGGCTTACAACTTCTCAGCATTTTGTGATTGGCCTCAGGAACAGGCAGCCCATTTCTGATTGCCTGCAGCTCTCCACAGGAGCCATTTTGTGGTGGTGCCCATTTCCTGTTCTCAAAATTATAAAAGCCCAACATAGGCTCAAGCAAATTGGCAACCCCTGATTGTATTGTTTCTTTGAGGGACCTCCACACACACTGTAAAAAGCCCTAGAAATGCTCCACCCGGAAGTGATGTCATCGCACTAAGCACATTGTGGGGGACACTCTAGCATTCAGCCAAAAACTCTATGGTGACCATAGATTTTTGGACTGAATGCTAGTGCATCCCCCGTCTGACGTGCCTGGTGTGATGATGTCACCTCTGGGTGACGTCATTGCGCCAAGCATGTTGGGCACTGTGGAGTTCTTTGGGGGGGGGGGGTTCTGCCCATCAGCCAGCTGGCCAATGGGCAGATCAGGGCCCCCGGAATTGGGGATAGCAACCCTAAGAGTCTCTCTCCCTCTCTGGTCTCGCCACTGAAATGGTGAGTTGTTCACATGGCAGATGCAGGAAGTCAAGAGAAGAAAGTGGGTTTAGCAGTCAATAAAGCTGTGTTCACAAATTACAGTGAATGTACATAAGGAGTGCATGCACAGTACCAGTTGCCAGGCTGAACCTAGCAACCAGCGGGAGGGTTTGGAGGTGGGAACATGGTGAAACCATAGAGTTTCCAACAATTCCTAGAGCTACTCATTGTCACTTCTGGTTTTTGCCCAGATGTAACATGCTGGCACAAAGGCTGGCGATTGGTGGCAAGCCTGGCAATTGTAAACCATATGTGTGTCCACACTATAGATGAAACTGGAGACCAGTACCTTGATAAGTGCGAATGCAACATGAGAATTCCTCAACATATTTAGAACGAAAAATCAAGCATGTACAAACCATATACAGTGTACAGTTGATTTCCCCCCCTTTCTACGGGCATTGAGTAATTTTGGGTTGCCAACCCTAGGTTGGAAAATTCCTGGAGATTTTGGGGTGGGGGTGGAGTAGGTTTGCCAGCTTTGAGTTGGGAAATATTTGGAGATTTGGGGTGTGTAGCATGGGGAGGGAGAGGTTTGGGGGAGCAGAGGGACCTCAGTGGGGTACAATGGCATAGACCCCGCTTTCCAAATCAGCCATTTTCTCTAGGGTTTCTCTGAAACCTAGAGACTAGTTGTAATTAGGGGTGAGGGTGGGGGGCCCCCATTGCCAGGCCCCATCTCTTCGCTAGGATGGATTAGCTGGCTGGCAATGGGGAGGATTATCCAAAAATTGAGGGAGGAACACCCGACATTTCGGCAATCTGCCTACATGACTTCAACGTGACCCAGAAGTTACATAGGCAGGTCGAGTATGTCGGGGCCACTCTCTGGTTTTTGAACAAGAATTCTATGGTAGAAGCTAATTCTGCCATAGAGTTTTTACCCAATGCCAGAGTAGAAGAAGAAGAAGAGAAGAGATTGGATTTATACCCCACCCTTCA